AAGTGGCATAACATTATTGGAGAGTTGAAAAACAGTTTTTTCGATCCTCAACTCATGAAATTTCATGTGTACATTATAAACATCCTTATGAATTATTAAATAATTTATAATTATTAAATAATTTTTTTATTGATTAAATTTTTTAAATAATATTAAAATAAGAAAACGTTTTTTTTATGCGGTTGCCTCGCCTAATCTCGCATTACCCTTAGCTTGACATCAACGCATCGCCATTCATTATGACTTTTAGAATACTAAAATTAGTTCATGTAAAATTATCCAATATTTAATTTGATTTCTCTTTTAAATATTTCTTTTTTAGTTACCTTAATTGGTTATGTATATTTAATTACTTTATTTAATTATTTATTTTAAATACTTACTCAAATAAAAAATTAATATTTAATTTAATTTTTATTTAAATATTTCATTAATTAATTACCTTAATTGGTTATGTATATTGTTTATCTAATATTTCATTACTTTATTTAATTATTTATTTAAACACTTATTCGAATAGAAATTAATATTTAATTTAATTTATTATTTAAATATCTCATTAATTAATTATCTTAATTGGTTATGTATATTATTTATTTAATATATCATTAGAACATAAATCACACGGTGAATAAGAATATCTAACAGAGATGGGAGTCGAACATTAGGTACGATTACATTTTCAAGATATCGAGCATTATTTAAGAATGCTGAAACTATATTTCCTTTGCTAAATGAAGTCAAGTGGGAAGTTCTCGATTATAATATGTTACTCTCTACCCAACGGATGTGTAATATCTATTTAAATTATATATACGCTCTATTTATAGTATGTTATTAATTTTCTCAATTTTCTCTATTTATAGTATGTTATTAATTTTCTCAATTTTCTCTATTTATAGTATGTTATTAATTTTCTCAATTTTCTCTATTTATAGTATGTTATTAATTTTCTCAATTTTCTCTATTTATAGTATGTTATTAATTACATCATAATTGACCTGGCGAATATATAATATCTATTTAAATCTTATGTACTCTTTATTTATAGTATGTTATTGATTTCCTCAAATTTATTTATTTATAGTGTGTTGTAATTAAAAGTAATTAGTTATTTATTATACAATTACGTAAAAACTAAAGTATCACAAACATTTCAAAAAAAACTTACATTTTAAATTATTACAACTACGGATCACAATGTATATAAAAGAACGCTTACATTCAAAAAAATGTTTACATTTTAATGTGTGTTTGTTTTAATAGCTCTACACCACGTTCGGTGCTAAAAATTCAATGTATTTCAATTAAGGCTGTCAACGAATTGGATTTTGATCCGAATCCTATGAAATCAATGAGAGATGGATTTAGGTTCTCAATTCGATAACCAATCCAGATTCGAATCTGATAATCCATTAACTAAATGAATCAATGGATTGGATTTTTTCAACTTCAGATCGGATATCCGATAACGTAGTTAATCAGATATGGATTTAACATTCAAATATCTATCGGATTATCGTATCGGATCGGATAGGATAATTATTCTTAACGGATTGAATCGGATTGGAGCAAATCCGATCCATTTACAGCCATAACTTCAATGCGAAGACTCCACAATCATCCCGACCGATTTCACGGAAGAGGTTGGACAACGTACTGTCGAAAGATGTTCTCTTCTTTGCTTCGATTGTGTACAGAGAAGCAATGTGTTGTGATAGCAATCTAGTCCTCTTGCTAACCATTTGCTCTTGCCAGTCAATAACATGTTTCTTACAAGGTGTCACTTTCATTGCCCTCTCCGACATAATTGTCACATCTTTCAAACTCAAGATATTATCTGTCAAGTTAGGGGTCCTCTTTGGCATAGTTTATGTCTATTATTTATTTAATATTTAATTACTTTGTTTAATAATTTATTTAATCACTTAATTAAATAAAAAAATAATATTTAATTTAATTTCTTATTTAGATATTTCATTAATTAATTATCTTAATTGGTTATGTATCTTCAAGCTGATATATTAACATTTCATCGAATTAATAACCGTGCATCGAGATTTCGAAATAACGTACAACATAAATCATAAATGAATAATATGTACCTCAGAATCGTCAATGAGAGCTGATAACTGTCAGCTCTGTCCCCATGGATAGTTTTTGAATGTGTCAATGTTATCAACAAAATGAAAGATGTTGATCGACGTCTTCTTGTGATGATACCTCAGTATGCTCTTTAGTATAAACACCATTTCTAACTTCAACTTGTCAGACATATCGTCGCATTCCCTAAATGCGTCTCATAACTATGTCAAAGTTACCATCGTAAGCAGGATTGGCGTAACAGGTCTGTGTGCTCTTCATCCAACAAATCTAAGACTAATGTGAAGTTGGCAAATTTATAATTCGATGCAACTTTGTCAGAAATCTGTCTCAAAGCGACCAAATGGTAATACATCCTGTAAAATTTAAAATATTTGAACTTTGTGTAAGAGACAATGGATAAAGCACAATATTTGAAAATTAAATCGTTTATTTACTTATTTAAATTTTTTTTATTGAATATTTAATAGATTATTTAAATTGTTTATTTATTTATTTGAATTGTTTATCGAATATTTAATTGTTAATTATTTATTTAAATTGTTCATTTAAATTATTTATTCACTATTTAAATGTGTATTTAAATTATTTATTTTAATTTTTTAGTAGTTTATTTAATAATTATTTTAATTGTTAATTGAATGTTTAATTGTTCATTTTAAATGTTAATTATTTATTTGATATTTTATTACTTATTTTTATTATTTATATTTATGGTTCATTTGAATTATTTATTTAATACTTAAATGTTAATTATTTAGTTCAATTGTTTATTTAATATTTAATTACTTATTTGAATTACTTATTTTTTATTTTTTATATTTATTGTTCATTGAAATTATTTATTTAATATGTAAATGCTAATTATTATTTTCAGTTGTTTGTTTGGATTTTTTATTTAATATTTAATTACTTATTTAAACTTTTATTATTATTTATATTTATTTGTTATTTATGTTAATTAATTATTTTTATTGCTTAATTAATATTTAATTTACTTGTTTATTGAATTTATTTCAGTTAGTTATTTATTGAATTTATTTCAGTTAGTTATTTATTATTTCAATTAATTATTTTATTAATATTTATTTAATTTATTCAATTAGTTTATTATTTAATTAGTTATTTATTATTTACTTAAATAAACAATATGCATAAATAATTAACATAATTCATGAAATATTTAAATAAACAAATAAATTATAAAATAAATAATTATATATTAAACAAATAATATACATAAAAAATTAAAGTAATTACTTAAATATTTAAATAAACAATTAAATTAAATATTGATTTTATTAAATTATTTTTAATATTTAATTTAAATTTTTATTTAAATATTTCATTAATTAATTTAATTGGTTATGTATATTGTTTGTTTAATATTTAGTTACTCTATTTAATTACTTATTTTAATTGTTTATTTAATTTTTATTTATTCATTTAATTATTTATATTAGTTTCTTATTTATATTAATTGTTTATTGAATATTCAATTGTTTATTATATTTATTCATTATTTAAATTATTTATTTTTTAAATAAAATGAAATAAAAAATAATTAATTATTTTATTTAAATAAATAATTTACATATTCATGAAATATTTATAAACAATTAAATTCGGTATTAAAAAAATTTGAAAAATGGCTGGCACGCTGGGCCTATCCAGACGGGGTCTGGGTCGTCTTGTAAAATCTTGTAAATTTATTCACTTTATCCTTGCATCTCGGAGCTATTAATGGGAAAGGATAAAAAAGTCTATGTATAGTTGCTTGTTTCCATGAAGGTGATTTTGAGATATGAGTTTCATTCATGAGATTTCTCAAACCTTATTTATTCTAGCTGTCTTTGTTCAAGACAAAAGGGACTTGGTTTTAGTTCATGGAGAAAATTGTGGCTTGAAGGAAGATCATGTAGCTGTTACCAGAACTTTTGTTTGATGATGAACCGAGTTGGAGAGAAAAGGTCCTTCCATTGACACTCCCGTTGAGCTGATTTTTCGCTAAATGCTCCAATACCAAAATTAATATTGGCCTCCATTGTCCCTTCTGTTTTGATGATAGATTGTTTTAGTTGGCTAATCACCACTTTCCACTAGCAATTGTTTTTTCTATTTTGTGCTATTTCTCCATTTTCATGTCGGGAAACTTCCTCTTTCTAGATCATCTTGCTATGTACATTTTTCCTTTAATCTCCGTTTGCATTCATTGCTATTTTCTAGTTGAAAATTGCCCTGAAAATTATCTTTTATGGTGGTCTCTTGAATGTAGTAGAAATATGGTTATGTACCATTTCCCACGTACGACGTTAATTTGTTGACCTCAAAAAATGTGCTAATATCTCGACTTTGTCCCCCTTTACTTAGACATTACTTGCACACTAAACACCCCATTAAAAGGCAAAGGCCGTTGGTCGAGGAAAATATCCTTTGATCGTTTACACTCCAATGATCAAGTCAACAGTTGGACTAAAGATAATATGAGAGTGCAAGAGATGGGAGAAGGGGCTTAGCTAGTGTTAGAATGAACATTCCTTAATTTGTTAAATGAATCACATATATATGGTGAAATGAAAACGGGTCAAGTGATGTTAGTGGGCCGAGTCCGCGTGTGACCGGGAACTGATTTGGATGCTCGGGAGTCAAGAGAGGAAGAAGGCCAATACTGAAGCTGTAGTTTGATGAGTATTTTAGTAATTTTATCGTCGTCCGCGTGTGACTGGGAACTGCTTTGTTTTCATTTTCAAAGGTTGTCTGTATCACAAATCCTAGGTACTAATGCCTTATTTTTTAAGAATTAGTTACAAAATATATCAGCTTATGCTCTGTGAAACTCATTTTGGTGTTAAGAGTAGAAAAGTCATTAATTTAGCTACCCAGTCACGAATATTTCCTTCAAAAATGCCTTTTCTATAGGCTAAAAGACAATAAACCTTATTTAAAAATTATTATAGTCTATTTCCAACATTTTGAAAGACGCGTTAACTTCATCAACTTGACCTTGACCATTGACAACTTGGCCATACTACTCGACTCGACAATATTTTCAAGTTAATCAAGCTTATACTCGAGAAACTTGAGATTCGGATCGAGTTGGACGAGCCAAGTACTCAATCAAATTCATTTGCTTACCTTGATTCCAGCGTTCAGCATTGGGCAACTCCTATACAGCAAAAAGTAGGAAGATTTAAGGGTAACCAGTTTTCCAAAATGCTGATAAAATGAAATTACTTCCTGCTCTCAAGCTGCATTTCCAATTTCAAAAAAGCTATCATTGAAGAATCGAAATCAGAAATATAAATACACTAGCTAGTGCTATATTGATACAAGATTCATATGCATGTGAGCGACGCAGCGCCAAAACTATGAAATTGAACATCTTAAATACTATCTCAACATGGTGGAGCAAATTCTTTTTTTGCAGTACCTTTACGAGTTTTTTTTTTGCGTGTCAGTGAAGCCCGAAAAAATGGAACAGTTCAATGTGAGCTTCAGATGTGGATTCACCCTTTTACTATAGGAATAGGGGTGTTACCTTTACGATATTGAGACAGAGTTCTCATCCTTTCCATTGTTCGTCAGCGACTTGTGATGTTCAGGATTCTCATTCAATTCCATTTTCGTCGTACCATTCAACTGGCCAATATTGGCAGCACTAATCATTGTAGATGACAAGTCCACAGGTTCCAATGGCAATGAGATCTCAGACATTCCATCCTTCGATAAAATACAGGACATTGCTTTCAAAGAGGCACCGAGATGTTCTGGAAGAACTTTCCGTGGATGGGTCACCTACAACACAAGATAAAATTAAGAACTTTATAATAACCACATACAGCCTTTTTTGTAGAGTGCCTTCTATAACAACAAAAGTACAACATGCCCACAGGAAATTACTTTGTATAATATTGCTGCAGAGAGTCTCTCTCTTAGGCAGTAAATATGAGCAACATCAAGAGCCATTGACTCGAAAGGAAGCCACCGATCAACAATGACTTTAACTGCATTGTCAGGGGAGGACATAATTTTCTCTTCACGGAGAGCAATTAACTTATCATGGCTCTCTATTTTATCTTCATTGCTATCATTGACATACGTATCTTCATAGTCCTTTTCGTTTGCAGGAGCCACCACGATCTCCATGGCCAATAACAATAATGGAAGTGGACCCACAACACTACATTTTCTAATGTGCAAACCCCTATCTCCACGAGTTATCTCATCAAACATGATCAAAGGTTGCCCACTAAATTTTTTAAATAGTAGCTTGAAGAGGGTTGAGCGGGGATGCAACCGAACCTTATCACCACTTGAAGTCTCTACAATGGGCTTCATACCATTTTTAGGTCGAAGCAGTCTTCCAACCATCGGATAAAGACCGGCAACAAGGACAGCATGGAGTATTCCTGGGTCCTGCGCGTTCACACTACAATTAGATGCAGCTTCTGGTAGAAAACCACTCCGGCGCAATTCAGTCTCCAGTTGCTTACGCATTCGTGATATCATTCTCATAGTGCTAGAAGATATGCAGTAGCGAGAACAAAACTGAGATCCTTCATCTTTTCCCTTTGCAATTTTCCATCCCTCGAAGGCAGCTATTACAGCTAACTGATCACTAAGGCCACCAGAAAGTGAAGCAAGCTCAGATTTTGCATCTATAGCTCTCTTCTTTTCATCAGGTTGTGTGGGTAGAGTGAATGGGTCTCTATAGTCAGCAGCACAAGCTAACGTCAATGCCGGGTCCAGACAATTCAATAATATTGCAATAAGAAGCATCTTGCTCTTGAGTGGATGAACTGGCAGGGATCCAACCCTCTTCCCAAGTTCCGTAAGATTCTCTTCTAGTGTCAGAGCCCCAATCTCTTGAAGAACTGTGATCCCATTATGTATGGTCTCATGAACTGGTGGGTCCAATGTCTTCTGCAAAAAATGTTCTATTCTGCAAGATGGGTCTAGAAGTTTCACCTGCACATGGTAAACAAAAGTAACATTACACTTCAACATTAACACATCACCCCACGCATGGTGGGTCCTTGATACTCGTATTTGTGCATTCTCTCGAAAGCAAAAAGGGAAAGGTGAATACCTGCAAACATAGCTCTTCTAATGGAATCCTCTTAATCTCAGGAACTTGGAAATCTGGCAAGGAAGCAGACCTATCTTTTGAGTAAAGATGATAACAAATCCCAGGTTGGCACCGTCCAGCACGTCCTTCTCGTTGCTTTGCACTTGCTTTTGAAATCCAAGAAGATTGAAGAGTTGACACGTTATTATACGGATCATAACTTTTTTCTTTCATTCGTCCACTGTCTATGACATAAACGACATCCTCAATGGTGACAGAAGTTTCAGCAATATTAGTTGAAAGAACAATTTTGCGGCATCCTGGAGGGGGCAGTCCAAAAACTTTCTTTTGCTCCACTGAAGGGATCATGGAATGAAGAGATATAATGACAAATTTGGACTCGTCCTTGAAAAAGGGGCTAGATTGTAAACGCTCTCTTGTTTTATTTATATCGTCCCAACCAGGAAGGAAAACGAGAATGGCTCCATCTTTTGATTCAGCACATATTCTTCTTAGTAGCTGCTCAATGAGCACGTGGTCAATTAGTTCAGGGTCAACGCTGGATAAGTATTTATTGAGTAATGTTTCCTTTTCAGTGTGGGAAATGGTTTTCTCATTGTGTTTTTTAATAATTTCAGCAGCTTCCACGTGATCGAATCCCTCAGCCCAATCGAGGGCAGTATTTCCATCACTGGCTTGTAAACGGCAGTCTGCTCCGAAAGAGAGCAGCATACAAATATCACCAACTCTCCCTTTTCCTGCAAATACCATAAGTGGTGTAACTCCGGTTATAGAATGCTGGTAATTGAAGTTTTTTCGACCCCCTTCAGAAGATATTAAATCAAGGAGAGGATCGAACTCATCATTTGACAAAGCCAAGTCAATAGCTTCATCAAGAGCAACTCTGTACTCCTCAGTTAAGATAGAGTCCTCCATTGTCACATCATCTGAAGTACATTTTCGGTGATTGTTTTCTGTTGATCTCAGTATAGAAAGTACATCCTCTAGATAGAAACTTTTCACCTGAGAGATGATGTTTCACATATCATATACTAAATTTATACAGAGAAAATTCAGCACCGCATATTCTATTATTAGAACTTACAGGATAAGTAAACCCAGGAACTCGAATAATAGGACAGCCACCAAAATAGTCTGAAAATCGTTCAGCGTCAAATGTGGCACTCATCAACACCTGTTCAAATTTAACTGGTCAGCAAATTTAGTGGAGTTCAACAAACCTGGACTGGCTAGAAGAAAATGAATAGGCAGATAGAAACTTTGCATGTAAGACATAACTAGCAAAAAAGACATGGGAAAAAACTAACCAGGCGCAATTGAGGATATGAAGGAAGCATGTCTCTGGAGACAAAAATAACAAAATTACCACAAAAAAATTCAACATAGTAGAATTTGATGTATAATAATTATAATCAAAATTGAGATCATAGCAAAGGATGAAACAAGCACTCTAACAAATAAGCTGTTTTCAGGGGGGGAAAAAAGAAGAAGAAGAAGCAATAATCATATTAGCAAACACAAACACTAATTTAGGCATCAAATAATGACATGTTTACTGGTCCCCATATATGATAAATATATCAGGATCATGATGACTAAAGGAACGAAAAGTTCACGTGCCAACAAGAGAGAGACAATGTAATCTTGGGCAAGGCACCTGATAATTGCTAGCATGATATCAGAGTAGTGGTCCCTTTCATGAATTTCATCCTAAAGGTAAAAACAAGTTTGTCAGGAACAGACATTCAAGATAAGAACAGCAAATAATGGATGGTATACAGATATTGTGAAACTTATATTATAAAACAAAACAAAATGCACACAAAAGATACTATTATTTGAAATTACGAGAGAGAAGGGAATTGATGCGGGGTAATACTTGCATAGTATTTAGAGCAATCATTCATCAGAGGACAAAAAGTCATTTACATTGTTGAAAATCATAATGTAAATGAATTAGAGACAAAATTACCACAATGATGTGGGTTATGTCAGAGACACTATTTCCAGTATTCTTAGAAGCTCCTCTGCCAACTAGAACCCTCAACAAAATCCCATTGGTGCAAAACAGAAGAGATGAATGCTTCCCACCTTTGCTCTCCAGCCGTATCTAGCATTTTTTATGAAGTAGAAAGTCAGTAACATCTTCATAGCCTTGGGTATGAAACTAATATACATGCAGTACAAAGAAGAGAAGCGTGGAATGGAGAGTTCACACAGAGCACAATAATGAAAATCATGATATGATGATGAACTAGCACAGAAGGATTATCATGCTTTGCATATGTTAATATGTTCTCTTATCCGTATAGCAACTTAAATTACACCATTTCTGATCATTAAATGGGTTTATGCTTCTTTTGGTGGGCTTCTCTCTTTTATGTTCAGTAGGGAAAAAGAGTTTTGATCTCTTGAATCTGTTATGTTCTCTTATCTATCTAGCAACATAAATTATACCGTTTCTGATCATTAAATGGGTTTATGCTTCTTTTGTCAGGCCTCTAGAGTGAGGTTTAGGTGTATTTCTTTCAAGAATGAGGTGTGCTTTGATGAGATATATATAAGCCTCAATAATATATAAATATGATTATCATATTTATTGAAAATTTGTATTATCAGATTATTGAAAAGCAAGTCCTATCAAATAGAACCTCTTAAATTAGGCATAGTGCTGACAAACAACAACAATAATGATAAACAGCAGCACAGACATTGATTAGATTGTGTAGTACCTTGTACCCTACAGTATCTCCAACATTTTCACCTCTTTCTGTAGCAATTCTCTCTGCCACTGAACTCGAAATATTAAAGACATTTACACATATATGAAAATCGAGAATATATATACTCAAGACAGGTTCTGCCCACCTGATGTGGCAGAGATTCTTCGTGGCTGAGTACAAACAATTTTACATGTCTCTCCTTTACCCCATACATGATCCAGAATAAACTGTGGGACCTGAATTATGTTGATTGTGGTGAGTGTAATAATATAACATATTCAAAATCATAATATTAAAGATATTACGCAGAAAGGAAAACCAACAAGACCAGGAAGGAGCATTGTGACTAAATATATCACAACTGTCCAAATATTTTGTAGTAGTTGGAAATTATTTCGAAATATCAATTTTCTTGCTTCGTTCTGCCTCCACAAACAAACAAAACACATAACAGACACCAACAAAGAAAAATATTACTTGTTTCATTTGAAATATTTTCCCATTCTCAGATATGGAGAGGCAGTGTGAAATATGTTAATACGCAAATAAAAACACAGAGTAAGAGCTCATTAGCTAAGTTGACATTTCAAAATTTTCAATCTAACAATGTAAAATATGATTATGTTCTATTCTATAACACAATTTTTCTTGATTTGAAACATATAATATATAAGTAAAAGTCAGTGGATTCGATTGTCTTTTTTGCTTCCAGTGCATTGAATAGAGACATCCATAAAAAATTACAAAAGGGAAATAGTAATATTATGAATTGCAATATGAAGTGCCAATGAATTTCTATGCACCTGGAAACACAAAAAATAGTAGGGTTTCTTTAATCTTGTAGGTACAAAATGCTTCTGAAAAGAGAACTATATCCTTCACCTTTAAGCTCAAACTTGTGCTTTTAATATTTAAATAACTCGTATAATCAATTTCAACCTTTGAAAATGCAACGAACTAAGTCCACAAAAACCACGATCCATCACAAATCTCAGATCACAAAAGCATAATACTTTTTATCCACCTTTCAATTATTTCACATGCATAATTTAATTAATTTAAGGAAATTGATTTCGAGAAATTGCACATCTAAACATCCCAAAAATTTACTTCATTTCAAAATGTCAAAGTATCTACGTTTTCCCATTATGCTCACACAAAAGACCAAATTCGAAATAAAAGAATCAATATTTTGCCACTTGTTTGAATACTTCCAATATAAAAACTGGAGGAAAAAAAAAGTTAAAATACGAACCGAAAAGAAGGAAAAAAACAATTAAATGCATTACAATTCAGACTATTAATACATTAATTATTTTTTGGGGGGTTGAGAAGGGCAAGAACCGCACGGAGCAGAAATGTTCACCTGTGTTGTTTTTCCACATCCAGTTTCACCAGATATGAGCACAACCTGCTTTGGAAAGATGAAAAAATCTTTAATTTATTGGGCATGATCCAAAGGAGATAAACAAATGCAAATTTAAACATAAAAAGGATCTCTACACTTTAAAAAAGCAGTCACCGAAAACCACAAATCCCATCAAGCTGAAAAATAAATTATAAACAGAATCTTTCTTCTCCGATTCTCTGTAAACCAGGCTTCCTAGTTGTAGGAGTCTTTTGTACATAGCCTTTCAACATTCTGTAATTCTGGGATTTTAGCAGTTATAATTGTTACATGACATCAATGTGATTCAGCATATATGTGTTATAGACAACTAGGCAACTACTAAAATAAATTACACCATAGGCTTGTTTGGAACAGATTTTTCTAAAATCATTTTTCTCTAAGATAATTTTCAACCACATGTTCTATGGGCCCACAACTTTCCCGACTTTTCAACCACATATTCTCCAAAATAATCCTTTTCACTTGAAAAAGTCTGTGCCAGACAAGCTTTATGTAACACGTGATGAAGACAACCTGATGAGATTCCAAAGCTGATGTAACGGTATCCCTGAAAGATCCAATTGGAAGCTTAGACCTCTCCTCGGTGATCTGTAACATGGAACCACGGTAACTTGCTTGGTTTCACATTTAAAGCTGATAGATAACAGTGCTGACAGTGCACAGGATTCAAGGGGGAAGTAAACTAAACGATAAGCACTAGACCTGTCTCAAGTATGGGGATTTTTCTATCCTTGAAGCAACTGATACCACCTCCCTTGCAATTTCAGACTTGGTCATCGCAGGTTTGCAAAATATGTCGCCTTTTCTTTTTTGTACTTTATTAGTTCTTACGGAACTTTCTCCAACCTTATTCTCAGCCATCTCTCTGTCATCAGGGGGATACCGAGAAAACAAATCCTGTAAAACATCTTTTGCTTCAGCTGAAAATCTGAAAGAAACAAGATTTTCCTTCCCCTCTTCCTTTTTCGTCTTATAAACAGAAACTTCTCGATTATCCCCCCGCCTAGAGAGGATTATGTTCATTAGAAATATAAAGAGCCTAAAACCCAAATCATTTAGTTAATATAATCATACTTGTAATTACTTACCAAGTACTTTTGGACCTCATTCCCATTTTTCTACATAGCATATGCACAGCAGCTCGATCCTGATTTGACATATTAGCTTCAAATGTATACACTGCATCAGCAAAATTTACACATGCTAAATTAGTTATGCAACTACAAACTGCAGTAAGCTATACAGGGCATAACCAGCACAAAAATGTGGTCAAAGTTGCCTAAATCAATTAAAACAGGCCTGTAAATATAGTGCTCACCTTTCAATTTTTAAATGACAAACCTTCAAGACTTCTTTTTTCCTTTTAATGCGATCATCCAATCATTAATTTTAAGCTATAATACCTTTTTATAAGCCTACCTACGTCTTTCTAGAAAAAGATGATTGGTTATAATTCCATGCTATTTCCAGCCATCCATATAATGTATTATAATCCAAAAATACTCTGTTCAAAATCATCTAGCTTGGAACTGATAGAGTGTGTTGGAAGTTCAAATCATATTGGCTTGCACAGCCTGATAAAAGATGAAACTCCATCTTTGAACATTTGCAAATAATAGCCCCCCCTAACTACGAGCATAAGAAGTATTCAGACAGGCTACCAATTTCCAAAGTTATTCACTCATGTGGGCACAAGATATTGATGGTAGCAAATAACTACAGTCAGATAATCATGTAACCTTAATCGAATAATTGAAAATTCCAAATCACTGTGATTCATTATGACAATTAAGCTTCATATGGATGATGATATATAATATGCCAAAGGTAGTTCATGCCAAATAATATTTCACTAAAAAAGTCAAGAATGTGGAAACAATATGGCACAGTAGAACATTTGGACAAGAAAGAAGATAGGAGCACATAAGCACACCAGATAACACTTGAAGGAGAAAACAATAATACAGGACCATGTACCTTGCCAAAAGAATTTCATGAATAATAAGAACATAATAAATAACAGAGGAGAAGTCTTAGAATTCAATTTTTATATTTGAGGTTCGACATCCTTATTCTGTAGCAAACAAAAGAATAAGAAAGAAAGGAAGAAAATGCACCAAATTTGTAGACACTATTCCCCCGTTTGGTAGCAATTTTTCATCCCAAAAAATCAATTTTTTTACTATTATTTCACTATTTCAGCCGTCATTTTTTACTTCTTCACTAATAAGTGAAACCCATTTTTCTCTCTAAAGGTCAAAAAATCAATTATGATAATCACTACCGAACATGCACTATTTAGCCAATAAACAAGAGAGTTCGGGACAGCTGTCAAATGATGATACAATATATATAACTTAAACATATAGAATAATAATCTAATTACATTTATGGACTTCTCGGTATAGTGATGGAAACAATTATTTTGTCTGAGAACGAAAATACCTTGTTACAGTGTGTGAAAAATTAAAAATTGGCTGCCTTCATATTGTCTTATTTGGGCAATGAATAGTTTTATCCATAGCAGACAGGTGTAAAACAAACCATATGCAAGAATAAGCAGTGAAGACTGCATTAAACCTGGTCAAACTTAGCTTTATAATAAGAGATGCCTGATATATAATAATCCATTGGCCAAGCAATCTATTATTACACGTTGAATTAGAACTTAGGCTTTAAAGGGAACCTGCTAGAGCATTAAATTTTTAAAATTGCTAATTCACACATTACTCAATTGATTCCTGGCTAAACTAAAGCATAATATCATAAATCTACATACACAAACATGTAATTTTAGGAACAATCCGAAAGGCATATGCACATGGATTATATTTTAAGGCACATGAACAATATAAATAAAAATATCAATTAAAATAGGCATAGCGTTCAACCAATTCACAAATAAGCAATATGCAAAACTGGGTACTCTTTCCAATAAGTAAATAAAAAAATTTACACGAATGCACATTATTTTTCTCAATAAATCAATGAAAAATAATTCTTCGTTTCATTTCAATTTAAATTACCTCCAGCGTCAGATTTACGGAACTCTTCAAGAATCTGGGTCAGACGAATTCTAGTAGCTTTGGCAACCATGGTCTCTACTCTTCGGTACTTCCCTTTCTTCTGCCTCTTCTTCCCAGCCCCACCAGATGCTCCCGTTCCCATTCCTCTCTTTCTTTTCTTCCCCGTTTCATCCATTGTTTACTTTGTACTATTATAAATTTTTGGGTGCAATGGGGCTTGAGAATTCAGTGTCTCAGTTGAGTTTTATCGGTAGAATCGGAGAAGAAGATTAAGGAGAAACAGCGGAATGCATACCCATACCCTAATGTAATAACCAAACGGGCTTTAACGTCTCCTGGGCCTTATATGATTGTGAGTCATTATACTTCCAATCAATTTTCAATTGAGTCATTACACTTCAATTTATACCAATTAGGTCACCATATTTTAATTTTCTTTTACAAATTGGGAAAATTTGAACGTTTCAATTTATGTCAATTATGTCGCCATTTTATATTTTACTTTCAAATTGGATCATTCCGTCACATTTCCAAACAATTTTTTATGACGTGATCGTTTATTACTAACAACTATCTTATGTGACAATTAAAACGTTATCAACTTAGAGCCTGTTTGGACCCGATTTTTTCACCCAAAAAACTGATTTTTTGACCATTATTTTACTATTTCAGCCGTCATATTTGACTTCTTCTCTCATAGGTGAACCTCACTTTTCTCCTAATGATCAAAAAATCAATTCTCAAAATCACTCCCAAACAGACTCTTAACATGTCTCCACATCATAAAATTGTTAAAACTCAAAAGTCCGTAACAAAACAAGCCATAACTGAAGCATTATGCCTAACTTCGTGAAGAAAACTATCCAAATTATAATTAGACGTTAACTATGTATATACTTATTGCTTAATGATATGTAACCTATCAAATCAAATCTTATTTCATGTACTATTTGCCTGTAAAAACTTGTAATTTATGACATAGATTGAGTCCACGCAATAGGGTGTGAAAGAACTTAATTTTAAACATCATTCTGGAAAGAAATTTTGAATTATGTTCCTTTAAGTGTGCCCCTAGCCCTCAAAGGGTTCGTTTGGCTTGTGTTTCAGTTTTTGGTTTATTTTAGATATCTATTTTAGCCCCAATTTGCCCTCCATTACATTATATTTCATTTTTCTCTCTACTATTTTCAACTATACAATCTTTCATAAAATAATATTATACGCAAATCGAAAAATATTCTTTCTTTTTCAATCACCCATTTTTTCAAAAATAAATAAATAAATATTATTCCACTCATTTTCATCTTAAAAATGGAGGCAAAACGGGGCTTAAGATTATTGAAAACGTATTTGATTTGTCATTTTAAACTATTTCTCAAAATATAAAACAGGAAAATATGTTTAATTTGAAATTTTGAAAAATTATTTAATAACATTTTATTTCATTAGTCAAAGTTGAACGTGCATTGCACGTTATTTTGAAATACTTTATAAGTGATGTAAAAGTAATTTTTGGTACTAATTTATTAGAGAATTTGATGAGTTTCGGACGAATTAAAGAAAATAAAATTTAGCAAAGAAATTTAAGAGAAGAAAAGTGTACTTTCAAAACTCAATTTCTATAATTCAAATTTTTTGTAATGATGAAATACTGTAAATGAACAATCTCTTTATATTACATTTGATACATAAAAATTAATTGTTAATGCATAAACTTAAACACCCATTAAAATTTCTAGATATGTAAATATGAATAAATTCATCTATAATAACTCTAGATTCATATAATTCAAGATTCATTAAATGAAAATTCATTAAATCTATATTAATGTGAATATTAATTAATTGAGAATTAATAACACAAATTTCATAAACGATAATAATTATGTAATATTTATTACATATCGAAAAATAAGGTATTATTGAAATAATTGAATTATAAGGGGGTTAAAATCTTTCAAAAATGATTCTCACTTGATGTGATATTTTAAGATAATTTTTTGTAATAATGAAATATTATAAATGAGCAATCTTTTTATATTACATTTGGTACATAAAAATTAATTTTTAATATATAAATTGAAACACCGTTAAAATTTCTAGATATATGAATATGAATAAATTCATCCATAATAACTCTAGATTTATATAATTCAAGATTTATCAAGTGAAAATTCATTGAATCTAGATTAATATGGATGTCAATTAATTGAGAATTACTAACACAAATTTCATAAACAACAATAATTATATAGTATTTATTACATATCGAAAAACGAAAAGTAAAAATATTATTGAAATAATTGAATCGTGGAGGGGTTAAAATCGTCCAAAAGATGATTCTCCCTTGATACGATACTTTAATATATTATAGATTATAGATTAATTTAATTATCCAGTAAGATAAAATAATTTTTATTAAAATAATATTAAGCAATATATACATTTTAAAGATGGTAAATTTTGGAATAGTTCTTTTCGTTATAAAGTAAAATGCAAATAAATAATAAATTGAATTGACAAAACATAGAAATTAAAAATTAATCAATCGAGAAGTTTGATTTTCATTTTGATTATGCCTTTAATAAATTGCATTCAAGGTCTTCAACTTTCAGTACTTATGCATCATGGTCCCCGAAATAATATTTTTGTACACTTTTAGTCCATTTTTCTTCCTTTTTGCCTTGTTCTTCTTCAATTGGGGGATTTTTATCTATAAAAGCAATAATTACACTGTTATAGGTTTCACACCCTTGATCAATATTAGGCTTATTTATGCTTCCAATAAATGTGTGAAAATACACTTATCAGTAGGTATATAATGCATTATCTAATTCCTTAGACTAATCTTTTCTAGAGCCAAAAAAAAAAAAAAAAAAAAAACCCTCTTCAATTCTCGATTTGAAATCTCTACTTGACCACTAGTTTTATGGATGATGGGGGATAGCCACCCAAAGCTTCACTTCATATTTGGTCAAAAGTGAGTCAAAGAGACAATGACAAAAATATTTGCCATTACCACTAATAATAGCTTGGGGGTGTCATAGCTGACAAAATGTTTTTCTTTAAAAAAGTCACAACCACCTGGGCATCTTTAATGGGTAAAGCAATTGTTTCTATCCATTTTGACACATAATCTACTATTGCTAATGTGTATTAATTTGAAAATGAAGAAGCAAAAGGCCCCATAAAATCAAATCCCTACACATCAAAATTCTCCACTTCTAATATAGAATTTAAGAGTATTTCGTTGCTGTTGGAAATATTACCACTATATTGGCATCGATCGCACTAGAAGACGAGTGTGTGGGCATCTTTGAATAGTATGGGATAATAGAAATTCGATTGAAGTACTTTTGACGTTTTCGTGGCACCAAAGTGACCATCATAAGCAGAAGAGTGACACTGTTCAATAATTTTCTCCATTTTATCCTCCGATGCACATCTCCTGATGATTTGATATAGTCCCTATTTGAACATCAAAGGGTCTTCCTAAAAATAATGCTTGATGTCGACAAAGAATTTCTTCCTGTGTTGGCAAGAAAGATTCGATGGATTGATGCCACTTGCAAGAAAATTCATATGGTCTGCATTCCATGGTACATGAGAGGCTTGTAGAACATACATGATTTGCAAGGTTTGCTTGTTCGAGAACACTTCATTTATCTATCCATCAACCACTTCTCCGGCTCACTCAAGTCTAGATAAACAAGTTGCCACAAGATTTTGGATCCCCCTTCTTATCACGAATTTTTAAGTCAAACTCTTGTTGAAGAATCACGTATCTAATCAACATTAGCTAGGCATCTTTCTTAGCTAGCAAATACTTGAGGGCCGAATGGTCGATGTATATAATCAGCTTAGAACCAAATGAGATGGGACTGAAACTTGTCCAATGCAAATACTATAGCTAGCATCTCATTTTCTATAGCAGCATAATTCAATTGGGCATCGGTTGAGATCCAACTATCATAATAAAGAGCATGCTAGATTTTTACCCCTCATTTGTCCTAACACTACTCCAATAGCGTAATCACTTGCGCCGCACATGAGCTCAAAGGGAAAAACAAATCTAGTGCTACAATAATGGAAGTTGTGATGAGTTTCTCTATAAAAGTGTTGAAATCCCGGAGACGCTCTTGTGAGAAATCGAATTGAAAGTTCTTCTCAAGCAGGAAGTAGAGTGACTCTGTGATCCATGAGAATTTCTTGATAAACTTCTTATAAAATTCAGAGTGCCCCAAAAAAGCTCTTTATGCCTTTCGCTGAATTTAGCGAAGGTAATTTTTCAATAACTTAGATTTTGGCATTGTCGACCTCAATCTTCTTCTGTAATTGAGTACCACATTATTACGCTTCTTGAATCATGGAGTGACATTTTTCCAATTAAACACTAAATTTCTCTTCTCACATCTTTTTAACACCGTCCTCAAGTTCTTCAAGCAATCATCAAATGAGGCCCCAAACACTAACAAATCATCCATAAATACCTTAAAAAATTTCTCCACCACGTCGAAGAATGGTGGTGAAAATAACCATCATTCCCCTTTGGAAGTGGTGAGTACATTACAAGGACCAAATTACATCTTCCTATATTCTAGAAAGCAAAAATAAATAAAAGGAAAAAAAAATTGGGTTGCCTTCCAATAAGCACTCATTTATAGTTACTAGCTTGACTTTGTTGTTTTGGCTATTCATGGTGGCTTGAAAAGAGAGTTTTAAGCCTTGCACTGGTTACACTGGTAATTATGCTTTAATTCATTTTTGGGCCTCCAAATTATAAGATTTCCATTATTATCCCGTACAACAATTCTGCTTTCTTCATTTTTGTTCTTATTTATTCCACAATGATCGATCTTCCACCCTTAAGATTAATTCACATTCCTCAAAATCCATCAATGCTTATTCAATTACTAAGAATGGTCTTCCCAAAATTAATGGCGAGTGTTGCTATCAAGGATGACAAAATTAGTAGGAATGAAATTATTTCCAACTTTGATCAACATTTGCTCTATCACTCCATAAGGATGCTTGAGTGTCCTGTCAGCCAGCTGTAAGATTATTGATGATGTTTTTGGATCCCCCAATCCTAATTTCTTATATATAGACAGTGTCATTAGATTAATACTTGCTCATTATGTGAATTTCCTATAGAGTAAGGTACACTAAAACTCCCTAGATCTTTTAGTTTAGGAGGGATCATCTGTTTTTATGATTGTACTGCATCAGTTAATGCCACGATTTCATCTATTAGCAGCTTACTCTTCTCAGTCAACATTTCTTTTAAAAACTTAACATAGTTTG